CTTGTCCAAGTCTGGCTCCGCCATTGTTCCTCACATAGCATTTTATTCATAACTCTCTGAGAATTAGTTTCACTTTATATCCTGGCTAGCTGTGTATGTCTGTCTTCTAATACAAAGGTCAGCAGAATAAGACCTTCAGGCCAAATCTGGTTCATTACCTGTTTTTGTAAATACAATTGTGTTGGAACACAGCCACATTTATTCTTTTTTTTTTTTTACTGTGTATGGTTGCCTTGGCATTACAGTGCTGGAATTGAGTATTTGTATAGTATGCAAAGCCAAAAATATTTACTGCCCTGTTCTTTATAGAAAAAAAAAAACTTGCTGATTTCTGTTCCAATGTGTTGAGAGACCCTTAAAGGAAAAAGTCATGCTATTTTCTTTTTGGTTTCTGCCCAAACAGCAGTATATTCAAAGGAATCAGTGAATGTTTAGGTCCTATTGTGTGTTGAGCGGTGCTCTAGCTGCTGCTGGTACAGTCCTCAAGAAGCAGAGAAGAATCTCTCATCTCATGAAGTCTATAACCTACTGCTGAGTGTAATGGGGAGAGACAAGGCAATGAACAAACTAATGGAAAATATCAGCAATAAATGCTAGGGAGAAAAACAGACTGAGATGGGAGGAAAGGATTGCTGTAATGAGTGGGCGTTCATGGTGGGAGTAGGGAAATTGTTCTCATGCAGCTTCAGAGAAGGTGACACTGGAGCAGAGTCATGTGGATTCTGAAGGCCATGTGGGGGCAAGTAGGGAAGGGACATGACTGGTATGTTTGGGGACTCATAAAGAGGCTTTTGCCCAGAGCAGAGCAAGCAAGGAGTAGCGTGGGAGGAAATGAGCTCACTGTCTGAGTGGGGTTTTCTGAGCTGGTTTTACTCTGGTGAATTTCTCTCTGGCTGAGGTAGGAAGTTCCTGGAGGGCAGAGCATAGAACAAGCAGGGCTTTTCACATTTTAACATGCTTTGGCGAGGGAGATACACTACAGGGAGAAGGGCAAAGGGTGAGCCAAGAGATAGTTTACATAGGTCTTGATGACCCACGTATGAGATGACAATAGAAGTGGAACAATGAGAACACCAGATTCTGATGTCTTGAGCCGGGTCAGTACTTGGCACTCAGTAACCGTGAATGAGAAAATAAAACGCTGACATTTACACTGGGATCCACAATGGAATCAGCTCTTGAAGTTCTGATGGTGACATTCTGAGAAAGAACCCTAGCACTTGTATTGAAATTACCAATCCTTTTCCTGAGTTTGTCTTTCTGTGCCTCGTTTATTTCATTATTTCATTTAGTGTTATGTCCCTCAGTCCCATATGGCTGAATAATATCCCATTGTGCACATTTACTACATTTTCTTTATTCACTATTTGATGGACAATTAGATTGTTTCTACTTCTTGGCTATTGCTGCATTGAACACGGAGTACAGTGTCGGTATCACTCCCGGCCGGCAGGAAGGACACACAACAAAGTCTGGCAGTGGACAACCTTTTCTTTTATTTTCCTTCTCCGTACAGCCTGCCCCGGGAATCCTCCCGGCCGAAGCCTCTGTTGGTCCGCTCCCCGCGGCTCCTTGCGTGCTTCTCCCTACAGTCTGTCCCGAAGCCTCTACCGGTCCGCTCTCCGCGGCTCCTTGTGTGCTTCTCCCTACAGTCTGTCCCGAAGCCTCTACCGGTCCGCTCTCCGCGGCTCCTTGCGTGCTTCTTCTGCTTCTTTTGCTTCTTCTTCTTTTCTTGGCGGGAGAGGCACTCACTTTTATAGGGTTACAGTGGCCAACCAGTTCAAAGCGCGCGATGCGGGCTGATTGGCTAACATCAGTTGTTGCTAGGCAGACTATCTTACAGGGCGGGTTGTGAAGCAGGAGATCTTACAGGGCGGGTTGTTTACCAAGCAGGAAGCAGGAGATCTTACAGGGCGGGTTGTTTACCAAGCAGGAAGCAGGAGATCTTACAGGGCGGGTTGTTTACCAAGCAGGAAGTAAGCGCCATCTTAGCACACTCGATGGGAGGGGTAATCTAGCTCAGGCTTTGCTCTTTCCTACAGGCCTCACGTCCGCCAAGTAAGGCGACCGGGCTCGGCCGCGGCTCCCAACAGTACAGATGTCTCTTTGATATACTGGTTTCATTTCCTTTGGATCTAGACCCAGGAGTGGGATTTTTGGATCATATGACATTTCAACTTTCAGTTTGTTGAAGAATCTCCACACTGTTTTCCCATGTATTGAATTATAATACTATGGACTACAAACATGCCCAGGTACTGTAGGTTAAGAAAAAATCAAATTACAAACTAATGACTAATCATATAGCTCTCCAGACATAATTTGACTCCTCCTATTGAGATAGGTCAATAGGCAGTTTTGTTTCACTTGAGAATGAATCAGACCAAGAAAACTACATTTTTCCTTTAAAGTCTTCAGATTGAAAGGGAGAGGACTTTTGTTTCAGAGATAATTATTTTTCCATAGTTAATCAAAGTAATATTTAATAGGTAGAATCAATTTCTTTTGAGGCTTCTATAGGAAGATTGTTCTGAGACCAACTGGACCCTTTGTTTCTTGCAAAAGCAATTTTTGGGTTGCTTTCCATTGCAGGCTGTGGGAAGATAAATAAGCTTTATTCTTTCTGATGTGGTGAATATTAGCAAGTACTTGGATTAGCAAGTAGTTTATAAACTAATAGTTCTTTGATTTTCAACAGGCTCAGGACATACATTTCCTTTTTAATGATCATTTAGCATCCAATTGGTAGCAAGACGAATGCTTGTTTCGCCTCTGTAGGACATGGTATTTCTCAGGAATGCTATTTCAGAAAGGGTCAGAGTGTTCTAGAAATGTTGTAAATAAGCAGAGGTGTGAATACAAATGGCTGATTGTCAGAATCACTAATCGTAACTTTGGAGGAGATGGCTTCCCCTAATTCCCACCGACACCCCCCCCCCCGCCGGGTCTACTGATTTGAATCTCCCGACCACTGGGTGAACTGCACTATTCTCCCACAGTCTGCAGTAGGCTGCATCTAATATGCCCACCAGTGCTCTGCAGAACTCGGCTAATGGCCTTGAAAGGGAGAAGTTTCAAAGAGGCATGGTTCCCAGGCCTGCTAATGAGCAGGAGGCCTCTTCACCTTAATGAACCAGGGCTTGTGTGGGATTCTTTGCCTTCCCGTTTTGAAGGGAGGCAGCAGGAGTTCAGAAAAGCAGCAAGGGCTTTATGGTGAGGGGAGCATAGATCTGGGCCACCCCAAGGTGGCCGTCAGGGTGGAGGACAACAAAGCTGGTAAAGGTCGAGCGTGGGCCAGCAAGGCTGTGAACATCAGGCAGGACCTCCTGCTACCCTGGCCTGTGGCTGGCAACAGTGACAAACCCGAGCTGGGAGATTTTAGGCTAGGCGTTTTGCACAGGGTCCCTCAGCAGCCCTTGCAGGCCATTTTAAACTGTGCTTTAAATTGTAATTGCTATCAGAATTAGAACTCATCAAGTGAATATGATAACCATCCAAATCCTTGTTCTAATTAACTAAATCATTGTCCCAAATATTAGTTATTGGTACCCAAACTCACTGCAGCTGCAAAAAGTCTTCCGGATATTTTTCTGAACTCCTCTCTGACCGCCTATACCCCACTGCCATGTTAGACAGTAAAATTACTCAAAAAGTAACAAATGATCAACAAAATGATTGCCTTTACCAAAATCATCTTTGTGGGAGTCCACATTTTTTTCTCAAGAACATATTTTAGAAAATGACATCCTGTATTTAAACATGATATTTCTACTGAAGTCTGTATGTGTTGTGTACATTTGATGCTTATTTCTATGGTAACTATCTATGATTCAAAAGCCTGGTTTGGTATTGCAGAATTAAAGTCCCTCAAAACAAATACACATTATTATGTAAGTTCATAAATTCAAAGTTACACATGACTGAGTACAGTTCATTAATGAACGTTTCTACATTTTAATTTTCAACTCAAGATAAAAAACGGCTGTGATATAGTAGGATTATGCTGATTAGATACAAATCATGTAAATTGTAGTTTCAATTACTGGCCAGTTTTACAAGCCAAAATTGCCAAAAAGAAAGAAAAAACATCTATTTGCGGTGACTGGAACTTGAGAAATACGTTGAAGCTTTTCTACCCAGTGGATAGAGAGAGAACTATCTGAAATGCACACATGTTTACCCTTCCATGCCCTGTGTTTGGAATTGTTCGGAGATGGATCTGAAGCTGACAGCCACCCATGGCTGACCCCTCGTGCCTAATCAAATTTTGCATTCTGTTTCCAGATAGCTGATCAGCTTCCTTGGATTTTGCTGATGACACCGGAGAGCTTAGCCTGAAGATGGAAACACTGGAGTCGGAGCTGACCTGCCCTATTTGTCTGGAGCTCTTTGAGGACCCTCTCCTGCTGCCCTGCGCACACAGCCTCTGCTTCAACTGTGCCCATCGCATCCTGGTGTCACACTGTGCCACCAACGAACCTGTGGAGTCCATCAGCGCCTTCCAGTGCCCCACGTGCCGGCATGTCATCACGCTCAGCCAGCGAGGTCTAGACGGGCTCAAGCGCAACGTCACCCTGCAGAACATCATCGACAGATTTCAGAAAGCATCAGTGAGCGGGCCCAACTCCCCCAGCGAGACCCGCCGGGAGCGGGCTTTTGACGCCAACACCATGTCCTCCGCTGAGAAAGTCCTTTGCCAGTTCTGTGACCAGGATCCTGCCCAGGACGCTGTGAAGACCTGTGTCACTTGCGAAGTGTCCTACTGTGATGAGTGCCTGAAAGCCACTCACCCGAACAAGAAGCCTTTTACAGGCCATCGACTGATTGAGCCCATCCCGGACTCGCACATCCGGGGGCTGATGTGCCTGGAGCACGAGGATGAGAAGGTGAATATGTACTGCGTGACCGATGACCAGTTAATCTGTGCCTTGTGTAAACTGGTTGGGCGGCACCGCGATCATCAGGTGGCAGCTTTGAGTGAGCGCTATGACAAATTGAAGGTTAGTCCGATCCGCCTTAAGCCAACCCCTTTCTGCCAGCAAATGTCATGGAAATAAGAAGTGTATTCACTGTTAGCTGCATGGCAGGTGAAGGTTTTCTCTTCACCTTTGTTATCTGATTAGTCGCAGCATGTTTTTGGCAGCCCCTAAATGTTACACAATAAGCGTATCTTGTAAAAGTTGACTGCTGCTTGTAATTTTAGCGTTGTCAAGGTGAGGGCGAATTCTGAAAATCTGGATCATTTTCAATCTCTGCAGTATTTCTGGATAACTTTCAGTACTGCCTCAATAGAGAGAGAGAGACACAGAGAGAAAGAAAGAGAGACAGAGAGACAGAGAGAGAGACAGAGAGACAGAGAGACAGAGAGAGAGAGAAGGGAAACGAGAGACATAATAAAATCTGGTTGTGGGCACTGATTTTTCTCAATCATCTGGACAAACTAATTCAGTCTCGTGGTAGCTGTCTCTAGTTACTGCACAAACAAAAGAATAGAAGAAGGAATGTCTGTAACAAATGTGTGTAGCAAATGTGGGATTTTAGATTTTGTTTTTTGTCTCAGTGATACCAGGCTTTTGGGGGAACTACAGTGCTCTGACAATCTTGGGTTTCATGAAAGAATTTCTTCTCATGTAAGCTTTATTATTCGGTGAGCTTTCAGTCAAGGTTGAACTTCTCTTTTAACATGAAATTATTAACCTAATTCCAGTTTGGAGGTAATAATTAATATGACTGTATGTCAAATTAAAAAAATCACTCTCCACATATGGCTAGAAAACACCAGGGAAGAATAAAAAGCCGTCTCCAGATGTCTGCTCAACTTCAGGTGATGCCGCGGCTAATTATTGGCAACTCAGCTGAGAGAGTTTGAGTGAGATACTATGTTCACCAGCTAATTTTAGATCACAAGAAACCAATTAAAAGGAAAGGAAGTATAAATTAAAAGCTCTAAGTAAATATATACTGAAGTCCTTCCTCTCAGGAAAAACACATATCCAGTTGTTGAGCAAACAAACTGAATCACATGGGCCAGAGTATTATCACTCTGACGGCAGTGTCACTGTTATAAATGGCTCTGATCACTTCTCCGGAGCTCTAATGGGTGCCTGTGTTTTCACGGGTCACAGAGTTTATGTTGTGACAGTGGGATTATCAAAGTCCATCTGAGATTCAGCTTTGCTGTTTCTTGACATGCGGAGGGAATGTGACCTGCCAAAGCGAATCCCTGCTTTCCTGTGTCATTTGCGCAGCAAAAGCATAGCACCTGTGCACCACACCTCACTTCCTGTGTGCAAAGAGCAACTGATATGAATCCACCTTTAAGCTGTGTAAAGGAAGCTAAATGCAAGGATTAAGGTGACACGGACAAGAGAAGTATGATCTGTTTTTCTCTTTTCTTTCTTTCATTTTTCTTTTCCTTTTTTTAGCAGAGCACACATTGGTAACAGAGGAAAGTACCACCAGAATTAATAATAAAGCAAAAACCAAGCGTGCATGGATTTGGGCTCAAAAGTCAGTTCTTCAAAAATCAATGTGGCTATCAGTTTTTACAGATCAAGGCAATCTTTTTTAATCCCATGTGTTGTTCTTTTTGGGAAGTACAGGGTTTCAGGACAATTGAGCCGAGATGTTTGATCTTTGTTTTCCAAATGTAAACATGTTAGATCTTTTCCATTATTAAAAATGTTTAGTTGATTAGATTAACACTACCTTTTAATGATAGTTTTTTAAAACACCATAATCGTAATTAAATTTCATATTCAACAGCTCCCATACTTGGTGTTTAAATCGGTAATCAAGTGGCTCATTACTTGTGCACTGTCACAGCAAGAGATATTAATTATTTATATAACTTCTTCAAATTTAGGAGGCGATACTGTAATGCTCTAGCCCTTTTTCTGATCAAAATGAAACTCTTCAATCATGAGCCCTGTACTCTTGTCTAATCAAGTCAGTGGGTGATCAGTCCTTGGTACTGTCACAGGGAAGAACTAACAATTAATAATATAGTATATTTTATTTTCTAATTACAGCAATAAGAGTATGTAAACAGGATTCGGTGCCCCTAAACACATTTATAGGCATTCAATAAAATGTGCTTATGAGTGTCTGAAAAGATAACATACTAGTGTAGACCGTTCTGAAACATGCCACTTGATAAATCATAAGCCTATAGAACATTTGGATGTTTATGAGATTTTAGTTGTCACATATTTATGAGCATATATACTACCTTATCTTATTTAAAACGTAAGTACAATGAAAGTTCTGATTTTTAAAGGAGCTAATAACATACCTAAAGGCCAAAACCAAGCAAGTTGTTTTTAATTATTACTTTGATCTTAAAAAATAAAGGTGCTAAGCATATTTATTTTTTCTGAAATTTTGCGGTCTCAGATAAATATAGATTTGTGATGAGGTGGGAACACAAAGTGCGGAGGAATTTGAGGATGCCTTCATGGATGAAGTAATAGATTTATTTTACTTATTTGGATCTGCAAGGACCCAGGGGGCTTCTGCTTGAAAATACGTTTGTCCTTCAATTAGTGAAAGTTCATTTTATGAAGAGGGGAATTCAGCAATGATTATGAACAATAATTATTTCCCTCAATAACACTAAACTTTGGGAGACATTTTTAAGTCATATCAGATCTCAATATGAGTGTTTATATGAAGAAATGGAATAGAGTTTGCACATTTCAGTCTTTTCCTTATAAAATGTGGGCCTTTGTATATCATTTTAACTGAATTTTAAGAAATCTTTCAGTTACTTCAAACTTGGATTAAAATTTTTATTTGTTAACCCCATAACATAGAAGGCAATATAATGTATTTCAGAGTTTTCAAGGAATAGCAGTGCAGTAATTCCTTGTTTTCTGTTCCACATTTGAGCTCTTGTTTCTTTTCTCTAATCACACCTATATAAATAAATCCATTGAGAAAAACTAACCTTTCTTTGCCCTTAATTCTCAACATAGTCCCTTCAAATGAGCTGAAATTGAAGGTCAAAATTAGGATGTTGCTATGCCGATTGTAAGGCTGGCTGTGGGAGTTTGTATAATATGAGTGAGTAAAAAAATAAAATTGCCAAATATTAGTAAAATATATTAAAACTATATATTGCTTTTGTTAGCTTGGCACAAAAATTATTTATGATTTGTGGAATGAAGAGGAAATATCTGAGAAGATCTAATTTTCATGGGAAACTTAGGGTCACTTCCTTTCTCCATCCTTACCTGTCCCCTCCGCGCTCCTGTCACCTCTCACCTCTTTTACCTGCAGAGAGCTCTGTATTATTGCTTGATTATTTATTATGATTGCAATCATTTCTGGTAAGCTCAGAAAGTTCCAGAAAATGCATGGAGAAATACACAAGGCACCTCTTAGTCATGGGGCTGTGTAAACAAATGTAATAGTTGGGAGTGTTGCTTAATGTTCCTGGGTCGCATTTTCCTCGCCCATAAAACAGGGCTAATAATGTACTGTACTTACTTTCAGAGAAACTTGACAGCAAAACAGTGTTTCATGTAAACCCTTCTCACTGTACCTGGCTCAGAGGAAGCCTGCTGTGTGTTTCAGAACTACTGCTGGAAACCAGGAGGCACGCTGTGGAATGGTTGAGTGTGTGGACTTTGGCAGTAGATGGGCTGCCAGATATTTTTAAAATCACAGCTCACATTATTTTTGGGTGAGATAAGTAGTGTTGTTACTTTAATGAATTTGGCAGTTTCAGGTCTAAAGCACCTGGCCAAGGGCAGAGACGCGACAATGAATAAACACTTGTTGTTGGATGTGTGCAGAACTGATGGGTTAGACCAATGTTTTAGGATTTGGAGGGGGAAGAGATGACTGGTTCTGAGTAGAGAATAAACGTGGCTTCAGGGTGGTGGGATTTAAGCTGCCTTGACAGATTGAGTGGATTATGCATGAAAGAACCAGAGTTAGGTGTTCCACGAGTGTGAGAGGCCCGCAGAGACCTGTTGGCAAGACGGTTTTGGAACTGTAGACAGTGCTGGCTAGGACGGAGATTGCGGACAGAGGGGCTCCAAGAGAGAATGCTGGAACAGTCACCTCAAGGGAAGATTTTGAAAGTTCTTTTGAATGCCAAGTTATGTTTGGGGCATTCCCCCTCTTGTCTATAAGATAACGACATAATTTTCCTTGTAAGAGAGGGGCAAGTGCAATGTATGTTTTCTGAAAGAAAGGTCAAATAAAGATATCAGAATGGCTAGGCTTGCTGTGTCCACAGAAAAAATAAAAGGGGGATGTGGCATTCACATTTTTTTTAGATTTTGTGATTTCTTTTCTGGAAATGGCTAATTAATTCAATCATTTCTGTGGTACTGGGGATTGAATCCAGGGCCTGCAAACTGAGATGTTTTTTGTTATTTTGATACAGGGTCTCACTAAGTTGCCCAGGCTAGCATCAAATTTGGGATCCTTCTACATCAGCCTCCTGAGTAGCTTCGATTACAGGTGCATCCAAACATGCCTGGTTGTTGTCTCTTTTTTAATAGACAAATAGATGTAGTGTCACTGGTCAGAAACTACCACTCTGTCAACAGAAACATGTAAAAATATGGCATTCAAAGTTTCATCCCTGAAGACTGAGAAGGACTAGGCAGAGTCACTGCTGTTGGCTCTTGGATTCAGACACAAATGCCATTGTTTTCCTGCATTCTTAGCACAGCTACACACCATGATTGTGACGTGCGTCTATTTCTACTGGCTTTTTGAATCTCAATAAGAAGGATGCTATTCCAGACCACAGAAACAAGCTAGATCCAGGAGCAGCATTGGAGCTCATGTTGTTTCACCCTCTGCAGCAAGACTGGTAAGCAGAGTTGCACCAAGTCACCTAGAGAGGTCACAAGTCTGAACCAGGACTAGATAGAGCACATCTCCCTGCTGCTGCTGTGTTCTGTATTTCTTCTAGTACTTTCTATTGCAGTGAACACTGCCAACACAGATAGCTTTGCTTTTAGCCAGATCATCCTGTCTG